ATATATATATATATATATATATATATATATATATATATATATATATATATATATATATATATATATATATATATATATATATATATATATATATATATATATATATATATAATATGTATATATATATATCTCTACATATATACATATATACATATATATATACATACATATATATGTATATATATACATATATACATATATATACATATATATACATACATATATATATATATATATACATATATACATATATATACATATATATATATATGGTTCGGCTGTTGGCTGGCTGGAAAAGTACATAACATGCGGACTTCAATTGCAAACTTTGAGGCCGAAGATAAGTACAAGCCTCGAGTTATATGGACAGTACCGCTGCTGTACGGGGAAGCGTGAAAAGTGGACGTTGTGCAGTGTGTGATTGATAATAGCTACGTTTTCTATTTCTTTAATTAAATAATTTCGTAAATTAATCAAATATTCTATAAACTCTCAAAAGGCGTTCTGTAAATATCGTTCCTAAAGACTTGCTTGAATCACATATTTAGTTAATCGATTGTTTGGATGAATCGATCATCAAGAAACATTATGTAGAGAGAGTCTTATTTATTTGATGTGTTATGTAGTATTAATAAAGTCACAGATCTCTAAACCTCTATCGTCTATTTTTCTCGCCGTATAGAAATTAATTTTCATGCTCTCTACTGCTTAAAATCAACTTTATTTTAATTTCTCACAAGAAAAACATTTTTATTGTCGTCTTCCTCCTCTCCTGTTCCCGTGATGCAACTCTCTATCGAGAGCAACAGCAGCGAAAACAATTCAAGTCGCAGAGGCAACAGATACGTGACATAAATGAATAATGTGTCGTGGATGCATGCGAATCCATTCGAAATATATTATGACTCCATCTCTCTCCCAATCTGTGGTACTGTCCTTCCTGATCTCTCTCTCCTACCTGAACCTACGAGACAAATGTAGCACTGTTGCCCACCAAGGAGGGGCCAAACAAGATTGATGCCACATCAAAGCCATAAAAGACCCTCGTCTCTCCGGTTCACATTCATCGCACCATAAATTTGCTAGCCACAGACATTTATACAGAAGAAGAGAAGAGACAGCTCATCTGATACATACATCCCTGGCTCTAAAACAATGCATATGTTTCCTTCCACAATATACAGATTAATGAGCGAGTTAATACCATCAACAGACTTCCTTCTCACAAACACCACCACCATAGCCTTTCCAACCGGCTTCTGCTAGGAGTGTCTATCCAACTCCACCCTAAGGAACAACAAAGAATCAGCACGAAGATGGAGAGAAAGCATTGCTACTTCTCCCACTGGCTTAAGTGGACTGTTGCCGTTGCAGCATTAAGATCAGGTTTTCCTCTAGTTTTCATAGCCCCTAAAAGAAACAAAAGAGAGATGACCAAGTCCCATCAGTGTTTGTGATCTTTGCGAGGGTATTGACTAGTTAGCTGCTACTGCCAACAGTGTCTTTTGCGTCTACATGCAGCAAAACCCTAACAAGGACGAGATGACAGGAAGATAGCCTAAAAGTCTCAGGAGAGGAAGCATAGCGTAGGATATAGAAGAAGGTACATAAACAGAGCGAAGCAATGTGGTTCCTCGTTCAGAAAATATTGCCACCGACCTGCATAGACTTTCCGAGATGGTCATCCGCAGCTCCAGAAGGACCCTCGCTTTTATCGATCTTCTTCGCCGCGGAGCCACGTGGCTTCTTGAGCCCGAGAAGCTCCTTCCACTTGATGGGGCCCTTCGACGGCCGCTCCCGCTGCTGCCCGCCGCCCTCGCCGGCGGCGCGGAGCTCGTCACGGAGCGTGGTGACGCTCCTGCGGGAACCAGAAGGGCAGTTGTCCTTGAAAGGAAGAAGCCTGCCCTCGAAGAAGAGCTGGTCGGCCGCGATCATCGGGTGGCTGCCGACAGCGAACTCGAAGTTGGGGTCAGGCGGGGGACCGGGAACGCGCGCGGTTGGCCTCTCCACCACAAAGTCACAAGAGAAAGAGATGCGAGGGCTTATCGGCGGAGCGGGTGGGCCGCCGCCGCCGCAGAGGCTCGGGTGGTCCGGGTTGAACATGTCAATGCATGCCGCCGAAGAATGACCCTGATCTGATCAGCTTCGCCTCATCCGTTCCCTCAAGAAAGAACCTGCAGGCTCTACCAAGCAATGGCTACATACAAACAAGAGAATTTGTTCGTGTGTAGGTGTGGTGTACACTGAGGGATCTGATAGTACCACTACTTTGGCTCGAGTTGATGTAGCCTCCCATTAGAGAACAGTGGAACTGAGGATTTAATAACGTAAGGCCTGTGGTTCTGCAGTGTAGATAGGTTAGAGTAGCATCTAGACATGTACTATATCTATATCTTTCACCATCTATATGGTTAAGGTGTCTGTAAGCCAGTAGTATATGGTTGTTCTCGCATTTATGTAGATGGAATTGCTATAACACGATCGAACAGGGCGTCACCATTTTAGGGTTCAGTGTGTTGTCTCAGAATTCAAAAGAAATTTATTGCCAGTGGTAATGTAATGATGGAGAAACTGTGTTCCATATTGAGACTTATTAACTCACAATTTTAAATTTATTACCCTAGAAAAAACATTTAACCTCGAAAAGGATCTGATGGGATGAGTTACTATGTACGATGATAATACCATAAGAGAAGAAGAGCGAGGGGTTGGAATGGGCAGTCCGGACTGTCTCACCTACCAATAGGAAGACGAAGCCACTGTGAAAGTAGAGTCACTTCTCGATTGACCGCATAGACCACGGCTTCAGTCCCGATTTAACCCACGACTCGGCCGAAGAGCGCAACTATTTCCTCCTGTCAGCGTCGAATTCGCGAGGTAATTTGGGATACGAAGCCGAGAGAGAAAAAGGCGTGGGGGCCACGGGCAGGGTTATTACTGTAAGCGAACAAGGTGGCGGTGGGGATTGCGTTGACCGGTCTTTGACGTGTTTGTTATTGGAAAGCTGGTGAGCTGGCGACGAGGACAGCTGGATAAGACCACGTGATGTCTCACCCGCTGTTTCCGTTATCTCACATCGCAAGGGGGCCCACGATGATGTCATTTTCTATTTTTTTTAAATTTCCAAAATGGATCTGCCAACGTGGAAAGTTAGCGAGATGTGAAAAATGGGGGAGAAAATTGATTATGAATTAGACATATGATAATTTCGGAAACACGCACAAAATATACATGACAGCAATACTCATCAATCGAAACTTCATTTCATAGTTGAAACAAAAGATGAAATATACATCGGACATTACGACGAATTCTTACTTTTTTTTTTTTGCTGTCGATATATTATTGATTATTTTTCATGTAAAATGACGCGTAACATGGTTGGTCAAACCTTGCTGTGCGGCAGGGTTGACGTGGCTGAACGATGCCCGTGTATTTTACTCGAGCAATTTACTGCAACTTCATGGTTGTTTATCCAGCCACATCGCCCATGCTATGGATACCAATACCACCACCTTGTTCATGATTGCATTCGACTGTGCGGTAGGCTGGAGATAGGATTTGACTATACGACTGTAGAACAGTCACCAACAAGAGATAGATTCCAAGTGTTCTTACTCCTATCTAAACTGCGGAATGGTCAACTTAGTTGCCTCCTTTTTCATGGTTGCAGGCATGCACAATTGGTCTCTGGCTTTTGCTTTGTTCTCCTTATCGCAAGGCTCTCTCTCTCTCTATGTTATTAAATGGGTCAAATGAGTGGATAAGGTCATGCCATGCTAGTTATGGAGGAGGGCAAGGATGGTCGATGGTCAAAGAGAAACTTTGATGGTGGGAACGGAAACAGAAGTAATTTGGTCAATATTATCTTATTTCCCAACGTTCCATTTTTGTATAATAACATGATCAACATTTTAGTGCTTTGCGATCAATACTATAGCATTATGATCGACACTTCAACATCACATGATTGATATATTAGTACCACATAATTAACACGTGTTTGATATTTCATAGTCATATATTTAACATGTGCTTGACACTTTAAAATCACGTAGGATGAAATTTTACCACATGATCGAATTAATCAAACCAAAACTACATCACATTATTACAATCAAGTCCAAAAAAAACATATAATAGTTTAACGGTCGTAAGAGTCTACTATATCAAAAATTACTTTACACATGAAAATGATCTAATATGGCTTTACAATCTCATCACATAACAAACGTTTAAAATTAGGTGTTTCCTAAAGGATTGTCAGACATTTCTCACGCTAAAATTGTGAAAACATATAGAATATGATCTGTCATCGCGTTATTGATTTGATTATGAAACATAGCATAAAGAGGTGATTTGTTGTAAGTGCATGTTTTTGCTTCCTTGTCGATCCACAAAGAATCATCTACGATTACACCTAATCAACAAGAATCGAAGTTCTGATCTGAGCCTAACTTGATGTTAGATTACAGGTAGCAGCAAGAACCTCAACACCAATAGCTCACAGTGAACCCACTGCCTGCTGTACTCATAGTAGATAGAATTCATGCCAGAGAAACAAAGCTTGAGACATACAGAACAAGCTCGGTAATTAGCAATACAAAGCTTTTATGGCTCGTAGACAACATGACGACGATAATAGATGACACTTATACTGCGACGTAGAACTAAAAGGACACAATCTTCAAACCCAAACTTTTCTGGGCGAAGTCCACCAGGTTGTCGAACTCGTCCTCGTCGATGAAGCCATTGCCGTCGGCGTCGGAGTACTTGATTCCACGTTTGCTCTTCCAGCCGCTGAAGCGGCCGCGGATGCTGCGGATGGCCCGTTTCAGCTCCTCGCGGCTTATGCGGCCGTCTCTGTCGGTGTCGAACCGCTTCAGCCACTCCTTGAACTCATCCACCGTCATGTCCCCTTCCAAGGACCTCGGGGTGGCGTTCCTGATGGCCATCGCACTGTGCTCTGTGGTAACGAACGATGCATCAATACTCATCCAAGTTAGGGTCTTTATAAGCCAAAGCGCTTGTCACCTTGTTCCACAAGCTGGAAGACTCGCCTTTATTCCTCGAGCAAAAGAATTCCTTTTGGTTGGGTAGAATGAAGGATTCTAGCAATAGCTAGAAAAGCTATTGAAATCTACAGCGAGTGGGCATATGTTGGGTGGGTCTCGGTGATCGAGCAAGGAGAGGAATGGTATAAAGCGACGATAAGGGCTGCCACTTGATGCCTTTATTCCAATAATGAAGTCGGTCGGAAAGCTGATAGACGAAGAACAATCCGCAAGATAAGTCTGAATAGTTCTTGATTTCAGATGCGATGGAATCGGCTGGCAGGAATGAGATGCTGGTGTGCATGAATCACGATAAAATATGATGTTGGATGATCTCATATCAGTAGCTAGGTGATGTTCCATGCATCATTCTCATAAAATATGATTTATATATGGATTCGTTGTCCATATTTCAGATTTATTCTGTGAAGAGCTTTCAATTTTGTATTTGTGAATTGGATCAAATTTATTCTGTGATAAGAGATTAGCATAAAAGAATAAGAGATTGTTCTATCTCTTATTCTCAGGTCTATCCCATCCATTAAGCCAAATGAAGACGCTTGCTGTAAATAAGGCTGTGTAATTTCAATTCCTAGCGAAAAATAAACCAAGCATGAGACTTAGATTCAGCATAAAATGTCATATCAGGTGGATAACCACAAGAATAGATCAAGCTGCATGCACTTCTTTGTCGAGAATTGTAAGGACAGTTCAACTCCTATTCCTTCAGTGGTTGAACCTTTTCTCTGCTCAGAAACGAGGCCACCCGAGGGAAGAACGATCTCTTCTTTCGTCTTGAGTCGGTCTTGGAATCCATGGTTTTCGATCTTGACATTTTGTGCAGCTTGGGAACTGTCACTGGACTCCGATGAAGAACCTCTTCTGTCTCGCTTGTGAAGGTTTCCTGTTCTCCAATGCCGTCTAGATTTGGCAACTCGGAGAAGCTCCTGGTGACAGCGTTCGCTCCTCTCTCTTGTTCTTGCTTACCTCTCCATGCGCTTACCTTCTCTGCTGCAACTCTTAATCTTTCCTCGACTGTTCTTCTACCATCATCGAGCTCCTCGGCTTCGTCAGCTTTCATTCTAAGCTTGAAGTACTCCTCGATTGATAGAGTTACTCGATCGCTTGCTTGTTCACTCTCTTCCATTGCTTTGGCTGTCGAGTAAGCTAATTTCTCCACTGCTTTAGCTGCCTTGATCTCGCTAACCGTGGCGTTTAATCTTTCCTCCATCTTAGTAGCTTCCGCTTTGTCTTGTTCTGCTATTTCCTTGGCCTTCCTTAGCTCCTTTCGTGCCATTTGAGCTTCTAATTTAGCTTGCTTCGCTTCCTTGGCTGCTTGTTCTAACGTCTTCAGCTCCACCGTCTTTTCCTCTACCTTCTTCTCCATTATGTTGAGTTCAGCTGCGAGAGACGAGGCCGATGAAGATGCGATACCTTCCCTCTGTTTCATGGTGGTGAGGGATGTTCTCTCCATTTCTACCTCGGACTTGAGCGAAGAAACTGCAGCTCTCAGGTGATCGATTTCACTGGTAGCTCTCTCAATGTTAGTCCTCACTTCCTCAAGTTCCTTTGTATATGTACAGTCCTTTACCACCTGACTTAGTTTTGCTTCCATGTGCGAAGCTCTTTCAACTCTCAGACTACAAAGTGATGCAGAAGCTTGTTCGAACTTTGACTTGAGATCATTTGTCAGCATGAGCTGCTCGTTCAGCTGTTGCAATTCGTCTTCAGCTTGCTTCAGCTCCCTTTCCCAGTTTAATTTGTCCTGCTCCAAGGCCAAGGCTGCACTATCTTCAAGCAATTCCTTGGTCCCGATGAGTTCCAAGGTTAAGTCCTCTACAGTCTTCTCAATCTCCTCGGATGCAGAGGCAAGATCTTGATCTTTCCTTGCTGCAACATGTTCTCTTTCCATTGATTCCAGCTCTAGCTGTTCTGAGTCCACCCCTGCAACAACAGTTGTGTTCCTTTCTCTGTTGATCTCATCGAGTTCGTCTTCTTGATTTGCTTGTGCCTCCTGGGATTCTGCCTTCTCCAGCCTTACGTTCAGCTCCACCATTAATCTCTTTGCGTGATCTAACTCCTTCAGCACATGTTCTTTGGTAACTTCTGCAGCTTCACATTGTTGTCTGTACTTTGTAATTTCTTCTCGTATCTTCTCGAGTTCAAGTTGGATATGCTTCTGCCTCTACATATATATATCACATCAATGAAAAATCAAACTAATAGAAAATGATTTGACTTGAATGATCAGAGTTTAGTGGAAAATTATATATAGGAAAATAAATATACCTCCATGGTTAAGATTGTTTGAGCTTCTCCATCAACGATTCCTCCAAACTTACTTATGGCATCCTTCACAGACTCAAAGGGTGCAGCAGTGTCGATATGCCCTCGATCTATGTCATATTTTCCTATACTCTCTGATAGTTTTGATATCTTCGGTGAAGAGTCATTTATTTTAAGTGCCTCCAGTGATGAAATTAATATAATAAATCAATCCAGAATGTGTAAAAAAGGATTTGCAATTATTAATGGAAAAATATAATATAATAAATTGAATTTACCTCTTCAGACACAGCCATTTACTGAAGATGATCACTGCATTCATAAAGAAAATATAAGCCAAAATGAATTTATTCTATTTAGAACTGCTAAACCATGAAAAATTCTCTCATAAAGGCAAATGTTTCTGCAGGCTGACACTAACAAGAACATGCAGGGAAGTGAGATGAAGGCAAAGACGGAAAACTTACATGAACTTTCTCCCTCTTCTCTCTTTTAATCCAATGTGCATGGTGAGGAGAGTTCAAATAGGAGGGAGAAGAGGTGGAAGACCACTTTTCCAAAACTCTCACTGCCTTTGGACCATCAATATTTTGGTCTCTCTGCTGGCTTGTAAGCCTGTCTTTTCCTTTAATACAATGATCTTGATGAGTTCGATTGTCCATATCCTTTTAATGGGTTGATGATGACTCTGCCACCTCACAGCACTTCATTGACACCTTGTCTAATAGTTGTATGGGTCAAAATATTGAGAAGGGATCATAAATGTGAGTATATTTGAATTAGTTTATTATCTGTATTGCTGATATAGGACTCATTTGAATGGTGGAACATCTCTCTTTATCCTACATAGAATGATCTCTATGGTCAATGGCTTAAAATAAATAGGTACTCCAAATGGTGCAATTTCTCTGTATTATTTTCACATTTTAGGCTGAGTAAAGTATTCCTTATAATTACAATAAGAAAAGATAAGCTTTTTCTTTTAATCGCTTAACTATGTTACAAATCGATGCATATGTGAAATGAATTGAACACTGTAAATGCTGGGAAGGTAGTGCACACTGCAGTGAAGCAACTCTTTCGAGGTCCCATGTCCCTCCCCAGTCGGTCTCTACTGTTCTCTTCCTCCCTCGCCCAATAAGTTGGCCTCCGTAGCTCCCACGGCGAAGAGGAGTTGTAGCCTTCTGCCATCTCCAAACCATAAGCCCCCCCATTATCTGCGCACTTCTGCTTCCATGGTGGACGTCGACCGCCACATGGCGGCCCTGACACCCGCCCACGCCGCCGGCCTCCGCCGCCTCTCCTCCCGCGCTGCCGCTGCTCCCTCCTCCTCCTCCCGTCGCCGCGGCCTCCACTCCCACCGCCCCCTCGCCGAGGATGTCCTCTCCCACCTCCGCGCGTCTTCCGTCCCCCTCGGCCCGGGACTCTCCGAGCCCGAGCTCGCCCGTCTTGAGGCCGAGCTCTCCCTCTCCTTCCCCCCGGACCTCCGCGCCCTCCTCGCCCTCGCCCTCCCCTCCGCTCCCGGCTTCCCGGACTGGCGCGCCCCCCGCCCCGGTCGCCTCCTACGCCTCCCCCTCGCCGCCGCCGCCTTTCAGGTCGCCCATGGCGCTCTCTGGCCCCGCTCCTGGGGGCCTCGCCCTGCCGAGCCCGTGCGTGCCATCCGCTGCGCCCGCGCCGCCCTGCGCCGTGCTCCCTTGCTTCTTCCGCTCTTCCGTCGCTGCTACCTCCCCTGTTACCCCTGCCTTGCTGGGAACCCCATCTTCTACGTGGACGACACCCGCGTCTTCTCCTGCGCCCTCGACCTGGCCGACTTCTTCCAGCGCCATTTCGCGGCCCTTCAGCCCCCGGCGCCCTCCTTTCCCCGGAGCCTCCACGCCACCGCCGGATTCAGCCCCCGCCGAATAGACTTCTGGAGCGAAGCCGCCTTCGACAGCCACTGCCGAAACTCCTATTCATCGTCGTCGTCGTCGTCCTTGTGCACCTCCTCTTCATCCGCTCCCGAGACGCCTTCCTCGTCTTCGTCATCACCGCCGCTGGACCGGGAGCGGTGCGTGGAGATCCCGACGCCAAGATTGACCTGGTTCACGAGCTACCTCGACCGGCTCGGCTCGGTCCTGAGGCAAGGCGGGTGGGGGGAATCGGACATCAGTGAGATGGTCTACATGTCGCCTACGGGGGCCTTCAACGGCTGCCAGGACGCCGCGGTCGACGCGGGGGCGATTCTCGACGCGCTGCTCGTGAAGGTGGACGTCTGCTCCGACTCGCTACTTAGAGCTGGCTGGGGCTCCGACGAGTTCCCCGACGCGCTGGGCCTCGACCACGGGCCGCGAAGAGGGACGGAACGCCACCCACCGGTGAAGGTACCGCCGGCGATTGCTCTTAAAATCGAGAAGCTCGCCGAGGCTTGGTAAGGTGTGTGACTGATAAGTCAGCAAGGCTTGGACCATGGGTTGATGTAGGGAGCCTTCTATCGGTTGAGCTGGTTGTCAGAGACGATTAGATCCTCGAGTCAGGGGGTGGGTTGATCGATGACTCGCCATGGGGGCATTGGTCTGCGACTCTCGAGGTTGGGCTACCTTTCTGCAAAAATGATTTTCGTCGGGTGATTCCCGACTTTGGCCCATCCGATGAGCAAGTCAGTAAGTAGTCTTTTTTTTTTCTCTTTTTTTTTCTTTTGAAGGCCGGGTAGAGGTCTTTATACTGTCGTGAAAGAATCGATCGTATGTGGATTAGCGTGATGGACACAGCACGACATCAATACGAATTCTGACTCGGTGTGCGGGGCGTTGCCATCCCGGGATTGTCGGGACCAGACATGTCGAATAGTATCTTGAGGGTATGAGTTCTGAGCGTGACGTGTGGCATCAATTGTGACGTGTCCTGGGGCAAAATATGTCTTATCACCTTCCAACCTTGATTTTTATGCGGATCTACTGGTATCCGAATCCACATCAATCTTTGAACAAGTGTTTGAGTTTCTCCTTATCACATCAAACTTCTTATATACGTTCCAAATCGGATTACTTTAAATATCATCGATATTTTTGGTATTAGTTACAAATGCGATCATATAAGTGGCTGTGAGTTTTCGGGTTCCCTGATATCGAGATAGCGGCGCGCAGACGTCGTTTGCCCACCTTGTCGTGCACGGAGCCTCAGCTGCTGCTGCTTCCCTCTGGTTCATTTGCGTTCTTGGGGCCACAGCTTTATGGTCGAGGTGGATGAAGGATTACTGGTGTTTGGATTTGTCAGTTCAGGGACAGACGCAATGGCGCAGCCAGTTTTGCAAGTGCAGGAGATTCATTGTTCAGTACAAGTTTCTGGTCGGATGGTCTGCCTTTATTCTATAATGTTTGGCCGTCAGAAGTTGCTCCCCGGCAACCGACTCATCTGAGCCATGTCGGGTTCGACATCATCAGGCAAGCAAAGAGGAGCCTTTGACTGAGACATGACAGAAAGTTCTCATGTCAAGCCATCAATGAGAATGTGAGACCTCCTTGGTTTCTGTCATTCTCTCCAATGATCCAGCAACAGCTCCTGCTTCATCCGGACTAGACCTTGAGGCAGATCCGGCAATGTCTGTGTTTACTTGTGCAAAGCTCTTCGGTCAATCGTACTTTCAATCTGGTGAAGTGTAGTAACACTCACAATGAACCCCGAGCTACTTCGATTCAACAATATGGATCCATCCATGAATGCTTGCTTACAATTCCGCACAAGATCTCCATCCAAGGGCGAGGGAAGCAGACACCGAAGCCGCTCGTGGGCCGCATTCGTGCTGTCCGCGTGCACAACCTCACCCGTCCGGCCGCGAAAGCGACGGCGGGAGCGGCACCCTGAGGCGAATCCTCATGCGGCGCGTGGCCCTCGTCGGCTGCTTCCCCCTCGGAGTGAGCCACGTCGCTAGCGGCCACCTCTTTTTCTAATGCGCCGCCCCAAACTCCCTCGTCTCTCCCGCCCTCCCGCGTTCCGACACCTGGGCCTCCCTCCAAGCTGCCATCACCAAGCAAATACGAGAAGAGAGTTCTCATCCTTCCTCTCCTCGTCTCCGTCATCTAACCCACGTTCATAAGAAATCTAGTGTTTTTACTAATTTTGGAAAGAAGAATTACATGGGGATATAGATATAGTTGTTTATGATGTCAACTTTTGTAAGATATGTTAATTTTTGTAAGATATATTTGTTTAAGATGATGATTCTTCGATGCTATGCTAATTTATGTAAGATATATTTGTTTAAGATAAATTATGTGAGATATGGTAGTGGGAAATGTTGTCACTGCTGTTTGGTTGCAGGCAGGTTTTGAGTGTTTGTTTGTGGAATCCAACTGAGTGTCATGATTGGATTACATTTTTCGGAGGTCGAAGGAAAGAGATGAATCTCGAGAATTTTGGAGGTGGCAGAGGTGCCGATAGAGAGGCGCCGCCGCTGGCACGGCAGGGGTCCATCTACTCGCTCACGTTCGACGAGTTGCAGACCACGCTCGGTGGGCTGGGGAAGGACTTCGGGTCGATGAACATGGACGAGCTGCTCAAGAACGTGTGGACCGCGGAGGAGACCTACGCCATGACCGCGGCCTTCGGTGAGGGCCGCGGCGGCACAGCAGCTGGCCCTGGCCTCCAGCAGCAGGGCTTGCTCACCCTGCCTAGGACCCTCAGCCAGAAGACGGTCGACGAGGTCTGGCGGGACCTCGCCGGCGGCCCCACCGCCTCCTACGTTCAGGGAATCGCCGGCGGCGGCGCTGACGTACCGCAGCAGACCAGTCTGGGAGAGATAACCCTCGAGGAGTTCTTGGTGAAAGCCGGGGTGGTGCGGGAGGACTCGACTCCGTCGCCAGCACTTCCAAGGTCGGCCGGCAACAGAAGCAGTAGCACCAATGTGTTGTTTGACGATATGCCGACGATAAACAACGCCACCGGGCTTGCTCTTGGATTTGAGCATCGAAGTAATACGAACACAATCAACGCTTGCATCCCTCGTAGTTCAGCTGCCGATCTGGGGATGATGGTCACTGTGGCGAGACCTTACGCGGCTCCGATTCCTGTGCGAAGCAGAGGACTTGTTAGCTTCGATGATGCTGAAATGACCGATGGGTTGATGACAGGGATAATTGGCCCAGACAGAGCTAGAGTTGTAGTAGTGACCGGGTCGCCGGGGAATCATCTCTCTCCCGACATACTCGAGAAAGCCAACAGGGATCTGTCTTCGGTGCCGAAGGTTCCATACATGTTTAGTGGCGGGATGAGGGGAAGGAAGCGCAGTGGGAGCGTGGAGAAAGTTATAGAGAGGAGACAGAGGCGGATGATCAAGAACAGGGAGTCAGCTGCTAGATCGCGTGCCCGGAAACAGGTACCTTTCCTAGTTTATGCTTTGCTTGAATTCTTTGCATAATTGCACATTAATAGAACAATACTATGCATTTTGGATTTGGTGTTCTACTTGTGAGTGCTAGTTTAAGATTTAGCCTGGCCAACTTTCTCTTAGTTTGTTGCATGAGATGTGAGACTGTTCTTTGGTAAGAAATTTGTTCCTCAGCTTTTCGAGTTTTGAGCTACAAAATTTGTTGTTTAGGTTGAAAGAAATTTAGGATCCTGAATCGATCGTGGCATGATAATGAAACCAATACGATATACGAACACGGTTCATGTTGTTAATGTTCGGTGTCAAAAGTTTTCTGAACATTATTATTCAGACGAAAGATGGAAGGCTTGATTGATCTTTGGCCACCATGTGGCATATATAGATGCATTTTATTCCTGGAAGGCAAGTATGTTCTTGATCAACATGCTTGCGGACAACTAACCGATGCTGGAAGGACAAGTATCAGAACAATGTAGATCTAGACAAGCAAAGTCGTAATTGAGCTTTAGCCTGATGCTGAGCATTTATCTTTCTGTGAATGAGATTACATATTTCAATCCTACATTGATGATTCATAAATTATTTGGCATGATATTTCCTTTAGTATTTTATGGTAGTAATCTATAGAACAATTAAGCTGTTACTCCCGACGACAAACAATAATGCTTGTAATCATTGGCTATGTTCCTAATTCCAGTTTCTTTTTGTCATTTGAATGGAGAACAAGGGCTTTTGTCGGTTTCTCTTTTTTAAAGGACATTGTGGAGATACTGAGTGGATACTCTTTTTTTACTGATTTGAGTTAGGCTTATACCATGGAGCTGGAGGCTGAAGTAGAAAAACTCAAAGAGCAAAATCAAGAATTGCAAGAAAAGCAGGTTTTTCTAGTTGTAATGCTTATATTTACATGTCCGATTCATGATAACATGATTTAATTTTTCATCAAGTCATTGAAATCTGTCTATAAAAATAGATGTCCATCAGTTTCTTCCTTTCTATGACCGCAATCCTTGCATCACTGTCCGAAATTTTCAGTAACGTTGTCATCGTCTTTTCCACTTGGATGTTTATAATGATGAAGTCGCAGCTTGTATGTGACTATCAGAGATAGGAGGCTGCAAGTTGGGGATCAAAGTGAGAGTGGTAGCCTTTAAGTTAAATTGGAAATCCTGATTTCATACTTCTGCCTGGAAGACCTATAAGTTAGTTGAATGATGTCACTAATGCTATGATATTTTCGTTACATAATAAGAGAATGGACATATTTGTTGAGGAAAAAAAAACACCTTCCGGTTTCATTTGTTTCATCGATATTCATGAACACTTATCACTATGCCACAGCATGTAAATATGAAAGTTATGATATTAGAAAGCCATACTATACACAGTTATATACGACACTATGTGCAAACATGAGAGTAACATCGGTGACACTGTTCAATGTTTGCAGGCAGAGATGATGGAGATGCAGAAGAATCAGGTAACTCTTTCTTTCTAAAACGATCGTTCATTTATAATTTTTCCCTCCATTTAAAGATGTTGCAATAATCTTGCTGTTCTTGGCTTAGAATTTCAAGATATGCTTTTTATTTTCAACGCGGATCAAAATAGCGCCGAAGTAGACCTCTCATAATCTTTAACGTTCTTTCAAACTTCAAGCCCTAATCAGAACATGTCAAAATAATCCAACAGACCAAAAGTCATTAATTAATTGTCAAATTTCTTTAATATATCAACTTTGTTGTGCAAGTATATTTATCTAATCGGAATATTGATATACTCTATATAAGATGAATGTACTTAAGGTTTGAATTTCGTTCTAACAGGACTTGCAGATGATCAGTCAGCTGCATGGAACAAAGAAACATCTCTTGAGGAGGACACAAACAGGTCCATGGTAAAGCAGAGGTCTTGACGATGATAGCTGAACCAGGACATCTCAAAGTTTTGCTGGAATGATAGTCGCATAATATATATATATATATATAAGGGAATTGCATCATTTGCTGTAGAAGTAGATACTGATCCATCTGGGTTGCTCCAGTGATAGTGATCTTGTTCTTGTTTGTTCGTCGTGGATGGCCTTTTTCCTACGCTATCGATTAGTCCCCTCGATGCTCAAGATCGACTTTTTCCACACAGTGGCATCCATTGTAGGGTGACTGCCATTTGGATTCAGGTGTTGGAATACTGTCAGCTAAGATGAGCTTAATAGGATTTTGATGTTTAGTCATGCAGTTTCCATTGCTGAGGCATATATTATAGCTAGAGGGAGTTCTTGATATCACTCCTTGTTATGTATGAATGGTTTGATTCGGTTTCTGGCTTGAACATTTCCAAGTCTTTTGGAGATCACCTTTTCTTTACTTTCATGAGTGTCTTTTGGAATGGCCTCGGATGCTTCATCTGATATAATCCGAGAAACTGCGTCTCCATGCAACATCATAGTCCTGTTTGCTTGTTTCATGTATTCTTGCTGTTCATCTTATCCTCCTTCCAGCCTTCTCTTTCTATTTCTCCAACTTTTTTCTTTTAAGGTGAGTGACATAGACAGATTTTAATCTCGGGATCTTACGATAAATTATTAATTTTTTTATCAAGCTAATCGATTTATCTCGAGTATTTTATTATTTATGCTCAACAAATTTATCTTCAACTATTTTTTTTAAGGGTAACTGACAAAAGATAGAATTCGATCCTACGAACTTACATTAAACTATTAAAATACTTTCCAATTATGTTAGCTGATATCTTCAATTTAACTTAATAATTTATTATTTTATACTTATTAAGATATTTTAAATTAACTTAATATTTTATTATTTATACTTGTTAAGAAAAAATATCATTGATGTTCTTATCAGCTTGATATAGTCCTGATATGTATATACAGAGTCATCCAAGGTGAAAAACGCTTTCTCCCGAGATGTTATATGCATAAAAACCAAAGTCGAGAGAGGTTTCCCTTGTCAATTCCTCCGACGTTCAAATTAGTCTCGCAACTTTTGTGGGTCTATGTTCTCAATTTCAACGTCTTTCTATCTGAAGTTGAGAATGTGTTTTTATATATAATCTTTAGAGAGATAAAATATTTCCATAAAGATTTTACAAGAGATGTAATTTGTAACCGTCCTAAGCTATCATTTGGATTCCTATCCACGCAAGCAAGCATATGGTAGGTCGTCAAAGCTTTTTCCTCCCATGGATCTTGTGTGACGCTTATGGGTGATGACTAGTTAATTATGTATTTCCTATCTATGCTCAACTAATTTATCTCAAAACCAAATCTTATTTATCAACCAATCCTGCATATAAAAAAAAATCTCTACAACCACATTTCTCTGCATTAAAGATTTCCTACTTCCAGAAAGCTCGTCCAAGAGACCAAGTGTTCCTAAAAGAATTTACACACAACAAAAGGAACAACGTATAATAAAACGAAACTAATACCTGCTCGTTTTATACAAAATAACGAAGAGAGTGCGAACAACACGATCTATTGTCACGTAGGATTAGGATGTTGCTCCTGATGCGACTCCTGATGCATAGTGAGGGTGGTCGAGGTGGTTGCCGTCGTGGCAGCGGTGGAGGCGGAGTTGATAGTCGAGGAGGACTCGCCGGCTGAATAGTGGGAGCCGCGGGTTCCGTAGGATCTTCTTCGGTATCTGGATCCAGGAATGCCAGGCCTGGTCGGCTCCTCGAGCACGCTCGGCTGCTTGGATAAGATGATCACCACGCGCTTCATGTCCGGCCGCAGCTTGGGGTCAGACTGTGTGCAGAGGAGGCCGATCTGAACGCACATCGCGACTTGCTCTGCGTCGGCCGTGGACGCCACAGCAGGATCCAGTAGCTCCAGCCTCTGGCCCTTCTTGTAGAGCTTCCAAGCCTGAGAAGAAGCCATTCGAATCAACATGTCATCCGACAATATATAGGTATGGAGGAGGAAGGGGTCAATACCCATTCCAGAAGGCTGTTGGCCTCAGGGTCGGGGAGGGGGCTGAATGCGGAATTCTTCCGGCCCGATATGAGCTCGAGAACCAAGACGCCGAAGCTGAACACGTCGGCCTTGGTGGAGAGGGAGCCGTGCATGACATACTCCGGCGCCATGTAGCCATTGGTACCGGCGACGCGGGTGTTGACGTGGGTCTGGTCCTCGGGGAAGAGCCGCGCCATGCCGAAGTCGGCGATCTTGGGGACCCACCGGTTGTCGAGCAGGATGTTGCTGGCCTTGATGTCACGGTGTATGATGGCGGTGTGCGCGCCCTCGTGCAGGTAGAGCAGCCCCCGCGCCACCCCGACGATCACCTGGTACCTCCGCTTCCAGTCCAGCTGCATCTGGCTCCCATTACCCTCGTCTTCTCCTTCTCAACAAAGAAATTGCAGTAAACGTCAGCTACCAATCACAATTCACATGTTCCAAGCATAAAATTAAGTGGAAATAATTGCATTGGTTCTCCAGATATGCTCAACCAAATGATGCAAACTCCAGCTCAGCCTGTTGTCAGCGGTAGACTAGTCAAAGTTATTGACTTTGCCTTTCATCGATGCCTACATTGACTGCATGGGGTGAAACCAATCATACACGTCTAAAAGCACCTTTTGGGTGGTCTTATTAGTTGACCACCATTGCACAATTAAGGTGAGACTAACGGATACGTATTCTAACAAGATGACATTGCGTCGGTTTCCTTCTTGCGTGCTCTCTGTCTAAACGAGGAAGCATCGATGGTGACTTATGCACAGAATGCAACGTGTCTTGCTGATCAACAAATGCTGATCATATGTTTATCAGCATTTGTTGATCAGCAAGACACGTTACACACGGGCTTCGCGGTCTGATTTGATGGGACCACTATTTGGCCGTGGAAAATTTGAACTCACCCCATTGTCAAGAAACCATTTCCATGCGAAGAAAGTGACGTACAAGCCGTGACTCGAGTGATTCACATGTGATGATTTGGGTCGAAGGACCATGTAATGTCAAGCAGTGGGACTCCTAAATGATGCATCGTAGTCATTAAAGAATCACGGCGTCGTCGTTTTCGACGCGTTTCCTGCAATCTGAATGAATGCTCAGAGATCCATGTCAGATGAACACAAGCTGCAAAACGAGACGCGCTTCCAGTCACGACTAGGTCCCCGGGTGACCGAAGTGGCGCACATGCACCCCCGTGGGTCTTCAGTGCGCGGTGACACCATTCGGTTGTCGTGACTTTCGTCGTTCATTGAATAGTGCGTTGAGTTACTACGGGGGTGCGGGAGGAGGAAGAAGGGGGTGAGTGCTTACCGGAGAAGAGGAGCTTGTCGAGGCTCTCGTTGGGGATGTACTCGTAGACAAGGAGCTTGTCGTCGTCGTGGGCGCAATAGCCGTAGAGGTTCACCACGTTCTTGTGCTGCACCCGCGACAGCAGCATCGCCTCGTTCTCGAACTCCCGCGCCCCCTGCCGCGAACCCCGCCCCAGGCGCTTCACCGCCACGTCCCGCCCATCCTCCAACCGTCCCTGCAGTATCGATCACGCTACTCATCAATCGACATACGCCACTTCTCCCTCCGCCCAATTCAAAGCCCTAATTCATCGTCGTTAATCGATTGCGCACACTTTACCTTGAAGACGGGACCGAATCCCCCTTCGCCGAGCTTCTGCTTGGGGTTGAAGTTGCGGGTGGCCGCAACCAGCATCTCGTAGCGGAACACCTTGTGCTCCGTGGCCGCGATCGCCTCCAAGTCCTCCTCCCCCTTCTCCTCTGCAGACACCATAACAAATCGATTGGAGCCGGAAAACAAACCTCAAACACTCAAAGGCCAGGAAGAAGAGAAAAAGACCTACCTTTGTTGCGGCCGCCGATGAAGGGCTTGATGAGGCTCTCCCAGAATTTCTTAGGTCTCGTCGCCATCAGCGACGACCAATCGAAGAAAGGAAAGAGTCGGCGAACAGCAATCCGATCCGATGCGAGGTGGCTTTGGGATTGCGGGGCGAGGAAGGCGGTGAGCTAATCACCCACCGATCGTAATTTAATCTGCTCTCCTTTTTCATCTTCCTTTTACACTTGATTTTTCGTTCTTTTAGACCACCAGAAATTGACGAAGGGCCGCCTGCACCAATTAAAAGACGACTTGGGAAATTAGAACCCGTTTCGCTTACCTTTTCCGGTGCCTGTCGGGTCCCGCATATGTGACAAAGCAACATGGTCGGTGGGTATAATAAGTCGGTCGTCAGTGCGTCTTGTGGGTCCCGAGACGAGCCCAAGGAGTTTGTCCCTACTCACCAAAGGGGTAAATTGTGGGCTCCCGAGACGGAACGCTAAGCACTTGATGTCAAATTGGTGATGTGCTTCAAATCTCGCGCTCAACAGTCTCGTAGTAGTCCGAAGTCAACGAAAATAAGAACAGTGACGAGGGTGATGAACGGATAACTCAACCAGACGGAGTCAAGGACAGGTCCAGACGGCCGAGGAAGGAAGCGTGCAGAACTGGTACAAGCTTGAGAAAAGAGAGCAGAGATGCGTCCATCCATGAGAGTAATAGGTTATTTAAGTACTCGACGTGGTCAATGAATCTCCAACCATCAGCTATCCAAGTTTTTGAAGCACGCAACAGTAGGGACCAATCATAATATGTTGTTCTGCCAACAAAAGATGAGCAAAGCAAGCACCTTATATACACCAGAGCTGCGGGAAACGGCAGATGACAAGAATTAGCAATAGACTAATTATGTGCAGCTACTTGCAATCACAACCTGACAATATCATCAGTAGCACTGCAATCTATCCTTGTTAAAGATTTGGTAGTACTGTCTATGTACAGTAAAATCTTACCGACAGAGATGAAAGGACCAACATAAAGTAGTCATTTCTTTTACTTAAATAAGAAATACAACGGTTAGTGTTCAAAGGCAAGACTGGGATTGAGATGGGATGTCATTCGAAATGAATGATGGGCAAAATTTGGGTTAGGATACATTAGAGGTCAATGCTTCAGTTCTTGCATATCCTCCTCATCCTTGAACAGAAACACAAACGTAGAAAGTGTCAGGCTGAGGGCTTTATTCATCCCGTGGGGTGAGGAGAGCATGGGGATGCATGAAAACCGCATCCCGCCATGGCTGCCGTAATCCTCAGATAAAGCAACATCCAATGTGGGGAATGTACAATCACCGGGCTTTACTGGGACATCACGAGGCTGGAGATCGCCATTGGCGTATTGAACAGAGGGTCACCACCGATCTTGCAGTTCTCGTGATCAACAGTCAATGACTTGGGTAGCACAAAGCCCCCACAGGCATTGGACTCCGCCGCATCTTGACTGCCACCGCTGCTAGCTTCACAGTGTTGTTTCTTGTGAGAAGAACCATCTTCTGTTTGCTCCCTTCTTCGTTTTCTCTTCCATCTGAGCTTATTGAAATGGGAGTCTTTGGTAAGGTCCAGTATGCCTGCCTCCCCATCGCTCGATGAATCTCCACTTGGAATGTTCTCGTCTTGTACCATGTCAGCTGGTAAGCTGCTGCCATTAGTTTCTTCCGTGTATTGCTCTTTGGTGAATTGTTCAGAATCAGATAAATCCTTCGTATTGATCATCGTGTCTGAGAACAGTGAATCTGCAATATCCATCCTTTCTTCTAATCTGTTCCATTTGTTATTGATCCAATCATGAGACTGCCTCAACTCACCTTGACAGAAAACTGAGGTGCGATTTTCTCCTGCACAATCAGAGTTAGCAATACATGACATTAGTAGCATAGAAGTATTATATCAGGATGAAATATCTAATTTTGGAATGCATTTGGCATAACTTGTATAACATGAGTAGTAACAATACCTGGAAAGTACACATGCATTTGCCCTTCAAAATCTTTATGAATGACAATTCCTTCCCACCAGCCATCATGCCACCATGCATCCACAATAGCACCAACATCAAAGTTGTATGTCTTGCCTCTCTGAGGAGGATGCGGACGAACAATGGTCCTTTCACAACGAATGCCAAGCTCATCAGGTGCTGCAACCCTGGATAGCGATACCCACTCCTGCAAAAAAAAAAGGTCTGAGCATAGATACAGATGTGATAGAGAGGCAACTTAAAAGTAATGTTTCCAGTAATTACCTCCGTATTACCACCATCTTCAGGATCTAGTATATCTTGGTAACGGACCTTTACCATATCCTGATGCCTTTTGATAATCACACATTGGAACCAGCAACCCCTTATTCCACTGTCCTGTGAAAGCACTTCAACATGGCAACCAGGATATAATTGTTGCTGAAGTTTTTGCTTAAATAACTTTTTTCTTATCAAAGCAGATCCAGAAAGGGTGCTTGTGACATTCTTTCCAGTTTTTCTGCTAACAGCAGAACCTCTAGATTGCATATCCATTATATTGGTTTCTGCAACATGGATATCCCGATCATGCAACTGGTGATTCCTCCTGGAATCACCTAGGAAAACATCACTTTTTTCTGCAGATAAAACAGAACCACCACGGGTAATCTTCAGCCTCAACTTAACGGGAGATGTGAACATGGACCGAAGTAATTGCTGGCTCCAGTAGCCTTGGAGTTGGGTGATATCAAATGGCTTTACATCATCATTATCAATCTGCCTGCGGCACATATAAGGTCTCCAGTTGGTGTGTCTTGCCTCATTCTGAAACTGCTCAAAATGCTGAGAACTGAGAACTGAAGCCAATCCATCAATGCACTCAACACTGAAATCTTGAAGACAAAGTGAAAAGAAAATCTCTCTGTCATTAGTGTCGGGAGGCAAAACAATACCAACTTCATCAACTTCGTGAAACCACCGTACCACAACCATATTGTTAGCTCGCAAGTCCTCATATAAATCTTCCACATAAGCAACAAGACTCTTCTTCTCTTCAGCCATTACAATGACAAAATCATGGACCTGCGCAGGAAAAGAAAAGCATTCATAATCTAGGACCTGCCAATAACATTGGTAGCAAAGAAAATTTTGGAAATAGTGCTTACTGAAATTGTGATTCCGTTCTTGCAGAAGGATCGATAATGCTTTTTCCTTTTACGGCAGATCCATGAGGCACCTAGCCATGAAAACTCTTTAGATGGATGTGCTGTTTTCCTTGAAGGAAGCTGAATGAACATGAGCATTGAAGTTAATAAAAAAATATTTTTCTGTTATAGAAGAGTATCATATTGCAACTAATTTTTGAAAGACATCCAATTATACTGTTTTTGGTACCTTGGAATTTGGGAGATCGGTTTCAGAATCTTCACAATCCGGAAATCCATCAACTGCCAGAGGAGACTCGGTGGCATTGGCATCTGGATATACAAGCATGTTAGCTATTCAAACATTCGATTGAACAAATTCCAGACTTACAACTTGAATAGAGAAAGCAAGCCACAAAATGTGAGAAAATTAAAAAAGGGTAACATGTTTCAACTAGATAGAGACTTAAGTAAATGAAAATCAGAAGGAAAACTACTATTATATCCCAATCAAGAAAAACAAACAGGATTGTTAAGGCTACAAAACAGAGGCCAACAGAAATAACTAGAAATTATGATCAACATATAAATTAGAGTTTCCCTATAATTCATTAGTTGCCAAATATGCAACACAAGGCTCCTAAACAACTACATTTAACCATCAATAAAACATTTGAAGTTACTGAAGCTTCAACATAAGACAACAACCAAACAAAAATCAGTACATACACTATAATCCTAGAACACATGGATGTTTTTCACATGGTAAAGTAGATGTAGAAATCTGGCCTAATTAAAAATGTTTCTCTCATAAATCAATCAATTTGTTGCAGAGACTTAAGATCAAAATCAAATGTAAGAAAATATGGACAAATGGAATTTTATGCCTTACACAACATCAAATAAAGAGAGTAAATGAGTAGAGAACTACTTAATAACAAGAGCAAAAAGTAGCTTTTACAAAGCCTGAAACAACATGGTATTTGTTTCACTTCTACCAATGTTAAGACTAAAGAAAAGATCTAAAGAAACAAGGTATAATATAAAAGAGAAATATGACATAGAAAAGAGAAATAGCAACATGGTATTTTTCTATTTCAGTTCTCACAATGGAGATCTGAAATAGAAAAGAGAAATAATCAGCCATGCTACTGATTCAGATATGAAAGTTTTAACTATATCAAAGGGTAAAAATGAAAATTTAAAAAAATACAATATTCAGAAAGTTTTGCCAGAAACATCCAAAAAAATCTTATTAATATGGATGAACGACGAGAAATCATAGATAATTTAAAGAGAAACTAGCATACTGTGATCTAAAAAGGCGAAAGAAGCATAAGCACAAAAGATTAGTGTGGCATGACAGAATCCACAGTCCAACTAGAAGAATTTAGACACACCACAGATCAACAAATTGAGGAAGAAAATAACATGAAACTGGTAATATATCTCAGTTAAGAGGAGTCACAAAAGAAAAGAATTACAACATCCTTCAATAAACTTCAAAGACAAAAGAGTAGAACCATGCAGGATTGGAAACAAGGAAGAAAGCAATAACCACAGGCCAAATCAAGCACCACTAGATTTGTTCTAGAAAAATGGAGAGAAAGGACAAATAAAACAAACAAGAGAAAGTAATTACAAAAGATAAAAAGAAAAATAAAGTAATCCAGATCTAAAAGAACAAGTTCAATGAAAAAAGGGAAAAACAATGCTATAAATGTGTATACATAACAACAAGAACACAAACTGAACACGTGCAACAGTCTGCATATTTTTAGATCAAGTCGATGCATATATTTGAAAAAAAAATAAGGCAACAAAAACACATTAAACCCAACCAAATAGATTCTTAAGTTACTCTATCTTTTAAAAAAAAGATGGGTAAAAAATCCTAAACACTGGAAATTTCACCAAACAATACTAAAAGGCATCAAGACATCCTGATGAATTCTTGTTGAAAACTTCCTTATTTTTCCGTGAGTTCTTGTTATATTTCTTATTATTCTATATCAGCATGCCATCAAAAAGGGTATAACTGGAGATCAAGAAAGAATCATCTAACTCTA